AAATTATTTGGTTAGTTATGCATGTGAAGTGTTTAATAAATATAATTTCTTAAAATATCAGAACACGAAAATATGTAATTTGAAATCTTTCACAAAATAAAATTATTTGGAAACTTTAAAATTTATTTACTACACTTAAAGATCAAAGATTCAGAGTATTCATTTATTCAAATGCTCACTATTGCAACAGGAAGAGCAACTTTTCAACTAACACACCTGTTTTCAATGAACGGATGAAAGAAATGGTAAAAAGCTGACACCTTACAGTTCCCCTGATGGTCAACTCAGAAAAGGGTTTAGATTAGCTTTTTATACTATTTCACCAAACAAGTGAAATTTTAACATACATTGCCAAAATGACAGAAAATTTTCTGAATTTTTTTTCTGGTCAACTTATGAGGTTTTTAGAATAGAATTTCATAATACTCCTAGACAAAATTGACTTATTTCAGTGGTCAACATACAAGATAGACATGTGGTCAAGTTACAGAGGTTTTGCTTCTTTATAATATATACGAAAAATTCCGTTCTTGATAATTGAGGTCAACTTATGTAGGTGCCCAACTTACAAGGGTGGTCAACTTGGCAGGTTTCACTGTAGTTTTTAAAAAAAATGTATTTGAACTAGAGTGGATGAATAAAAAGTATTTTATTAATGATTGAAAATTTGAACAAGATATAAGAAGAGTGTGAACTAATAGTAGGAATTGAAAAAAATATTTTTTTTATTGATTAATTTTATATAACTAATTGAAATTGATCAATAAATGTTACGAAATTGAATCAGTTATTTAAAACGTTTTCAATTTATTTTAGATTTTCAAAAATTGGAACGTGAAGCCAGGATTTGTAGAAAGCTCAACCATACAAATATAGGTAAGTTTTTGTTTATTGGTTATCGATTTGTCATTGCACAGAAATAAGTGGACGTTTCAGTGGAAGACGATGATTTGTGAGGAAAAAAAATATCACTGGTTTTTCTAAAAATGATATTCAAGATATTTATTATAGAATTTTTCATGTTTATTAAAACATTTTTTTAACGTGCTCTGCATAATTTTATTTTCGCTGTCTGATATGTTCAGGACATGAACATTCTCGTTTTACTATTAAATAGCTGCCAACTCTACTGGATTTTCCAGTACACTACTAGATTTTCCTGTACACTACTGGATTTTGCCAGTTTCTCCTGTTCTACTGGTTTAATTAAAATTCTCCTGGTTTTTGTACATTTTAGAAAATTCCCTAAAATTTAATAAGTTTCCTGAAAAAAATCCCTATTAAAATAGAATTTTTGTACCGATTATAGCTTGCTAGCTTATATACGAGGGTTGTAAATTAAATAGTGGCAACTAGACCTTGAAACTCACAGAAGGGTTGGCATGCGCAAATTGGATATGGAAGCGGTCAGGTGGCGCTGTTGTCGATGTGTAGAGTGCAAAAAACAGCCGATCTGCTTAGAAGGATAGTTGTTGCGTGGCGTTAAAGTGAGGAGTTTCATCTCCATCGCTCTAAAGCATGTTTTCAAAAGGCTTAATGACGAAAAAAGACAAGATGCTTCAACCTATCGTGCTACTGTCCTATACAGTAAAGCATTTGCACCACAGGCTTCAAATAACCCTCGTTAGCATTCTGTTGCATTTTTGCCACGGGCAACCTTGACTTTAAGCCACGACCACTGATCATCTTTTGAAAACATGCTTTAGAGCGATGGAAACAAAACTCCTCAATTTAATTCCACGCAACAACTACCCTTCTAAGCAGATCGACTGTTTTTTGCACTCTACACATCGACAACAGCGCCACCTCTCCGCTCCCATATCATATTTGCGCATGCTAGCCCTTCTGTGAGTTTCAAGATTAAGTTGCCACTATTTAATTTACAACCCTCGTATTTAAATACGTATTACCGATACACAATGAAGCGAACCTCATATATAGAAATCGTTTCAAAACTTTTTTTGGTCTAAAAAGATCAGTTTATTTATTTATTTTCAGAACTCTCTTTTTAAATTAATTAAAAAAAAAATCTTTTAACTACTTTTGATGAATTAAATGCTTTTTAGTATTCGAAATTATGAGGAAACATTAATGCATAACATTTTAAGTATGTTTAATGTGAAATCATAACTGGAAAATATTGTAATTTTTCTATTTTGATGACTATAAAAATTCCTAAGATTAACTATGTGTAAAATATTTAGAATGTGATGGAATAGTTATCCTGAAATTTATATTATTTCGTAAAATCTACTGGACTTTTTCTTATCCATGTTGGCAGCTATGCTATTAAATAATAAACAGAAATGTATAAATGTTTGTTAAATTTTTTTTTTTAAATTTAAAAAGATGGTTTGTAAAAATGTCATTCGTATTTTAAAACTAAATCTCTTAACTAATTGAATTCTTCAAATTTACACAAAATATCTCTTAACGTGTTCTATTAACTCTCCAATTTTATTCGATATGTTCAGCATAAACCTTATTGTTTTACAATTAAATCATCAATTCCTGTTGATTTGATACGACACTTTCCAATGTCCCATTGTGCAGTGTTAATGGAATTGCGACAAAATGTTCATTGGAATTAAAATGCATTTCTAGTTCCTCACCTAGTAATTGGATATTTACCATTTAATGTACTTAGTTGTTACATTCTTCTGTGAATTCGAAACATCATTTATTTAGGAATATTTGTTTCAATTTTTGCGTGTTACTTAAGTTTATCAGTACTTTAATTGTTAATTATTATTTTATCAAAATATTTGACATATTTAACTGTTAATTATTTTTTTTTATCGAAATATTCGATATACTTAATTGTTAATTATTTTTCTTTCGAAATATTTATCATAGATATGTTTTAAATCTTTTTATTTAAATTACAACCGATTTAATTTTTTACACATAGAGTGAATGAAACCAATCTTTAATGAAATGTAATGCTGTCATTTACGTTCTAGATTTTCACGAAATTTTCAACTGTACTTGTCCACAAATTTAGCTGAATTTCTTTGAAAAGACACAGCTTTGGTGATCGCGGGCTTTTTGTCATGAAACTTGAGAAAACGCTTAATAGAAAGAAGAAAAAATAGTCCGTGTAGAATTGCAATTTTGGTCACCAAATCAAAAAAATCAGGTGATCAAAGAATGACACAAAAATGCTTAAAATCTACAATCGAAACGCTTTGTACTTTTGTTTAACGCTCTGTTTTATTCCTGAACTACTATCAGCTCTCCTTTTTTTCCCTCTTAAGCAACATTTTATAACACAAATGGCTCACAATTCAAATCTTGGGAGACTTTTGGGACATCCTCTTAACCCCTCCAAACTTGTTCCAGTCAAAAGGACGGTGTGAAGTTTTGCCTTATGTTTCTCGTGCCCTTAACATTTCCAAGCTGAATTAGCCAAAAACATTGAAACAATATTTTTATTATGCCCAGAATCATGTTTATTTCTCAATCTATGCACCAGATTATTCGTAATGTGTTTAGACATAGTTTATTTTAAACGAGATATCAATACTCATCATTATTTCAAGATTAAAACTAAGCCAGAAATCAAAAATGAATACATATATTGTACAAACACTTAATTTCATATAATTTTCTTGAATCAAGAAATCGTCACTTTTATGACCGTTTTTTTCAAAAGCGGTGGTATTTAATGAGTTATAAACGTCGTTTAAAGCTACAAGCGCAAATTTTTATTTACTTTTAAGCAAAGTTGTACCGTAGCTGTAGGCGATCAAAATGGGCTACAGCAGAAGAACTCTCTACCTATGGCAGCACTTCGCCTGCTTTTACCATTAGCGTGTGGAGAGTCATAGAAGAGGGAAGTACGTCAGTTTCTGTATTGATTTTCATATAGATTAAAATCTTTAAAGTTGGGAAACTATATGGAACTGAAAACTACATTAAACATAGTTCTAAAAGAAAGCATCATGGAAATTAAAAAAAAAATATTTTTATTAATTAAAAATGAAAAATATTAAGAAAAGGAAAAAATATTGTAGTACATTCCTATACAACTTAGAAGGAGAGGGAAGGGATAAGGGCAAAATGCATGGAACCGGACTTCTCACCAGATGGCGTATTCGAGCATTGCGATCCCCTATTAGATAATGTCATTTATGTAAATCAAATATACAAATATACATATAATGTATTTTCAAATGATACAAAGTGTCACATATGTATCATTTGAAAAATAGTGATTCCGTACTCGAGTGTGTACCTAATGTACGTCATAGCTTGAGGTAGCAAACTCCACTTTTATTTGCATTTAAAAAAGAAAATTCTCTCAAACCACAATCTTTTTGTGGAATTTATTTTTTGATTTTACTTTGCTGCTTGCAAACCTCCTCGTCTCTTTTGTGTCAAGATTATTTTAACCTCGAAAATGTCTTAAGTATCGAAATAAAATTCGCATTCAGCCGGAATATTTCGCTGCATCAAATAAGATACATCAGAAGGGAAGAGGGGGGGGACTATAATCTTCCTCTTTTTAGTATTTCATTGGAAAACTTCAAGCCGAAACATACCCTTTAAGGGATTTCTAAAAACCTCGTGGGAAAACTGGGTATGTTTTCTGGATGTTTCTTTCTTATGAATGGCTCTATCGATTTGAAAAACAATTTTTTTTTTTAGCAAAGAACTGATGGCTTTCATTTTCAGTTTGTTATGTAAAATTCCAGAGTCTCCGTTAAATCTTTACTTTCTGAAAGTGAAATGTATAATGCTTTCTTAATAGTGAAATGTTTTCTTAATAGGGTCCATTTTTCTATTAATGTTATGTTAAAATATTTTTGAGATTGATTTGTAAACCTATTATCTAAAATTAATTAGATTTCTAAGATCGAATTTTTTGTATGCTGAGAAAGAGGGTGGAGCTCCAGCAAATGAACTTTGGTGCAACGCGTCTTGAAGAAATTTTCAACAGTGTACTTAGAGAGCATTGCTTGCTGAGTGGAGTAATCTCAGCATGCCTATGTACGAACTGTATGGATGGTATACCATGTATGAATCATCATGTAATATTAAAGTTCTGTGAAGGAGATACAGTAGGACCTCTATTTTACGAAGTTGCCGATAATAAGCTCGTTATATAGAAAATTCGTTAAATAGAAAACCACCTTTTGAAATACTTAAACAACACAAAACAGGCTTAAAAATGCATAAACACAAGGCATAACTAAAATTGCAATACATGCACCTTTATCTTGTGAACTAGTATCTACTATTCATTCTATAAATATTAACCATAAAAGAAATCTGCATGGAAAACAAGAATAGAGAAACATTATCCAGTGCTACATGCATTTTCATGCTCCATACACTATCATGCTACATATATTTTCAACTAAAAAAATAATAATAATTAATGTATAAAGTTATAGCTGCATTTATTGTAAAAGTAATTTTAAACATACATTACCACATGTGTTATTAAGCTTCATTCTTACTGATAAAATCCGTTGATCTGAGTTTTTCGTTTTAAATGTAAACAAAAAGGGAAAGGGATTTTACTGCTTTCTCTAAACTAACTTTTAGAGAAAGCAGTGGCTTCGAAAATTAGTTCAAGGTTATTTCCCCCATAAAATACGTTTGAAATGTTCAGAAATATTTTAGAAAATAAGGAAAGTGGATCTCTAAGAAAAGTTCGTTAAATAGAAAATGCACGTCGCTATTTGGAAGTTATTTTACGATGAAATTTCCAAAATGTTCTTGATTCCTCGAAAAAATTTGCTAAATAGAGAAATTCGTAAAATGAAAGTTCGTTAAATAGAAAGCAAAGGTACCTCAAGCCTTATCCTGAATATCAAAGAACAACTAGGACAACTTCAGCGTCTCCGGAAAAAATGCTTCTTGCAGTG